TGGTTCTGGCTCCCCAGCTCCTCCCGCCTTGCTGGGTGACTTCCAAATTGTTGTTTAATCTGTCTGAGCCTCAGTTTACCCTTCTGGGAGTGGAGGATCCTAGTGACTGCCTTATCTCCCGCTCCAGTTCCGCTTGAGACTCCCGGGCGTGAGCAGATAAAGAGGGCTTTTGAAAAGTACAGAGAGCTGCACTCACGACACCGCAATTATTATTGTTACCTCAACGTGGAGATAAGGGAGGGGGAGGCGGTGCAGTGACAGTTGCCAAGAAACCCGGGAGCTGTCAGCAGGCTTCCGGCCTGGCCCATCCCGCCTGGGAGCCCGCCGCACCCTTTTGAAGGGGAGATGGGCACGCCGAGGGGGAGGGGAGCCAGAGCCAGCTGGCTGCAGGCCACACACCTGTAGGGCCTGATGGTGACCCCGGAATGTACCTGGCCGGGACTCCAGGCTGGCTCCGGCTCTCTGTGTGACCTTGGGCAAGTCACCTCCTTTCTGGCTCCCGCCTATTACTGTGTCCAGGAATGTCCTGTCCCTGCAGGCAGGTGTCCAGGCCAGACAGGCCAGGATTGGAGCGGGAAGATGCTTGGTGGCGGCCGGAACCAGGGGCTGCGATGGGGGGGCCGCTGGGGGCTGGGTGACTTGCCCAGTCACTGGGGACAGCCTGCCTTGCGAGCAGCAGCAGAAGCCTGAGCTAGAGGAAGCCCTGGCACTGCCCTTTCCCCGGTGTGACCTTGGGCTTGCCTGTTAACCTCTCCGAGCCTCAGTTTTCTTATCTGGAAGAAGGCTGATAGTAATGCAACCTCACAAAGCTGCCGTGGGGATTGAGACAGGGCCCGTGCAAACTGCAGAGTGCTATGCAGATATGACTGCGGTCCTGGCCGGGAGAAAGGAGAAGTGGGGCGAGTTGCCTGTGTCCCCGGTCAGCCCCGGGCGCCTCCCAGCTGCTGCGTGTGTGGGAGGAAGGTAAAGCATTTTTAAGCTGAGCCAGGGGGACTTCCCTGGCAGTTCAGTGGTTAAGACGCTGTGCTCCCACTGCAAGGGGCACAGGTTCAGTCCCTGGCTAGGGAACTAAGATCCCACATGCCATGTGGCATGGTCAAAAAATTAAAGAATAAATAAAAAATAAACTGAGCCAGGCCATAGGGTCAGGAAGGTTTCCAGAGAAGTAGGGAGGGGCAGAGACTGGGGGCTGCATGTGAACAAAATGATGGAGACCAGGAGGAGACAAGGGTGCGATGGGAGGGCAAGGGGAGGGACAGATTCAGGTTCATGAGAGGGAGGAGTACGACCAAACAGAAGGAGGAATGCAGAGATCACAGGCAGAGGAGAGGGAAGGGTGGGCCGGGAAGGTGGGGAAGGAGTGTGTGAGAGGTGAGGAAGGATGAAAAGAGGAGGAAGAGGAAGCATCAGGCCGGCAGAAGGGAGGCAAGCGGCTGGGTTTATTCATTTCTCCAAAGGTATTTATTGAGCAACGGCTGTTTACTATGAGCGACTGTGCTAGTCGCTCAACCGTGTCTGACTCTTTGCAGCGCCATGGACTGCAGCTCACCAGGCTCCTCTGGAATTCTCCAGGCAAGAGCACTGGGGTGGGTTGATAGTATAGTGGAGCATGAGGGCAGCATCTCAGTCCGAGGTTCAGGGGTTCGATCCTCTGTATTTCACTTACCGTCAGCCTGACCTTGGACCTGCTGCTTAACCTCCGTGTCTTAGTTGCCTCCTCTGAAAGATGAGGATTAAATGAGGGATACAAGTGAAGGCGCTTCAGCAGGGTCTGCACACCGTTCGTCCTGTATCAGCACTGGCTGCCGTTGCCGTTGTTACTGTCCCTTCACTGATACAACCTGCTGGGTCCACAGGCCTGGTCGCCCATGCGCCGAAGTCCGGATCCTTGGCTCTGGAGTGACAAGCCTGGGTTCAGATGCCTGTTCTGCCTCATTAACTGTATGACCTTGGGCACACTAGTACATCCTTTGTGAACCTCAGTTTCCTTGTGGTGCGAAGCAGGTAGTTTGGAGGATTTTCCTGGTGATTCAGTGGTTACGACGTCACACTCCCAGTGCAGGAGGCCGGGATTCGATCTCTGGGTCAGGGGACTAGATCCCATGGGCCGCAACTAAAGGTCCCGTGTGCTGCAACTGAGACTGGAGCAGCCAAGTAAATAAAATAAATATTAAAAGAATAATAAAAAAGCAGGTAGTTTTTGAGCACCTGCCTCTTCAGGGAGCTGTGAGGATTAAGAAAAATCACGGGAGACACAGGGAGGCTATGGCTTTGGTTTTTATGGCCTTTGAATCCCTGCAGGGCTGGGATGGGTGAGGGCAGGCAGGGCCGAGAGCCTCAGACCTCCTGCTCCGTCCTCATCCCAGAGACCCTCCCTGGCCCAGCATCTTAGGGCCTAGGCAGTGACCTTGTAGGTTGTTGCCGGTGAGGGGGAGACTCAGGCCTGCCGGGAAGCGGAGAGCTGAGGGGCCCCGGCAGAAGCCAGAGCCCGCCTGCCTTGAGAGACCTACCGAGGACTGTGCCAGCATGAGCAGTCCTGAGTGAGAGAGGCAGTGGGACACGGGGAAACTGAGGCCGGTGCGAGAAGAGGAGTGTGTTAGGGAGCTGCTGCCGGGCTGACCGGCAGTGGCCACAGCCAGAGCCTTGGAGTGTGGGAAGCATCAGACAGAAGGAGCGCATCGGACTAGCTCAGTCATGGGCAGACACCTCCCCTCGGCAGCCAGAGCTCCCAGCATAGTGGTCCTCACGGTCAAGGGGACCCAGCATCCCCTGGCTTCAGCTCTCGGACTTCCAGGTTCTGCTGTCCATCCTGCTGGCACTGGCCCTGATTGGTCTAGGGCATGGGCTTTAAATTCTGGCTCTGTCACCCGCTTGCTCAGTGATGTGGCTTCATTTTTCTGAGCTTTAGTTCTTCCATCTGGAAAAAAAAGGGTTTTTTTTTTTTTTTTTTTTTTAACAAACCCCTTTTGGTTTAAAACCCCTGGTGGTTTAGTTTAGTGGCTAAGGCTTCACGCTCCCAATGCAGAGGGGGGGCTCAATCCTTGGTCAGGGAGCTAGATCCCACATGCTGAGCTTTAGTTCTTCCATCTGGAAAATTAAAGGGTTTTTTTTTTTTTTTTTTTTTAACAAACCCCTTTTGGTTTACAAACCCCTGGTGGTTTAGTTTAGTGGCTAAGGCTTCACGCTCCCAATGCAGAGGGGGGGCTCAATCCTTGGTCAGGGAGCTAGATCCCACATGCTGCAACTAAGAGTTTGCATGACACCCTAAAGATACCGCATGCTGCAAGGAAGATCGAAGATCCTGTGCACTGCCACTCAGACCCAACGCAGCCAAAAAAAAAAAAGTACATATAAAAAAGGGAGGGATAAATAATGTCAACCTCCCTGCAGAGCAGTGAGGATGTAATATGCCTGACACAGTTCCAGGCACTCAGTCTGTCTGCAAGGTCCCCGTGGCAGCCTCAGTGGAATGTGTCTGGACCATTTCTGCAGGCCTCTCTCCACCCACCCCCGCTTCCCAGTCTCTCCCCACGTCACCGGGCCTTGTGATCTACAGAAACCCGTGCGGAGGCCATTCTTTCTCACAAACCTTTAATGCCTACCTACTGCCAACATTCACTCATTCACCCACTCATCCATTTAACAAATACTTAATGAGACCCTGATGTGGGAAGGCAGAGTTTACCAAGAATGAATGAATGCCAAAGAAAGAATTCATTGAGTGAACACCTTCTAGCTGCCCAGGCTGTAGGATGCAATTTTTTTTTTTCTGGAAACCAAGGCTGAGAGGAGTATGTCATTGGTTTAAGGTCACACAGCAGGTAAGTAAGTGCCTGGGGCTATCTCCCCTACAACGATGTCGTGGGCCTCAAATGTCACTGCCACCACATCTGTCCTCTGCGTCAAGACTGCCCATGTGGGGCCCCCGGGTAAGAAGCTAGCCCACTGGGGCTATGGACAGTCCCTCTGAGCCTTTCTCCCTGCATAGCTGGGCCCAGGTGAGCCGGGAGGGGACTCAGAGCTTCCTCAGGGTCTCCTTCCTGGGCCCAGTTTCCACATCCCCTTCCCCTCTTGGGGCGTGGCGGTCCCAGCCCTGACTCAAGCGGGGCCGTGGGCTGAATGACTCACCCTCCCAGGAACCAGCCTTGGTTCAGGGACTGGGGTGGGGCAGCCGCCACGTCAGGGTGGCCCTCGGCGGTGGGTGGAAGCCGGGCCTGCTTGCCCAGCCCTGAGCCACCTGGGTCCCGGCAACCACTGGGCACTTCCTCCCCTTGACCCCAGAGGCGGCCTCGTCGGCAGGCTCTCTAGGGTAACAGGAGCTGACTTCACCCTCACCAGACCTGCTCCCGTTCCTCGGGAGGGTGCGGGTGTGGGCAGAGAGTCTGGGCTTGGAGTCGGTCAGGCATCACACAGATGCTGGTTCGGCCACTGACTCGCTGTGAGACCTCTGCATACCTCTGGGTCCTCACCTGTAAACTGGGAATACCAGTGTGATGACAAGTCTTGTGCCCTCAGGCCTGAAAGAGGGGCTTGGCAGGGGGCCTGGCACATTGTCGGCCCAGTGAGTGTCTGTTGTTATTGTCGTTGGTAATAGCAATGGCCCAGGTAGCCTTTCAGCCTGAAGGATACTGTCTCCCTAAAGGCTCAGGGACGGGTATACCTTGCTTAGTCCAGAGGTCAGGGCTTAGCCCTTTTCAGTAACCCCCAACCCCTGCCTCAGTCTTCCCATCTTTAGAATGGGCTATGGACATCCTCTTGGCTGGAGTATGGGTTAGGGAGGCCTAATGGAGAGTTTACAGGGACACTTTGTCCATATCTCTGATCTCTGGGGAAGGTTGGAAGTCCTGGTCACCTCCTGCCTGCTGGGGAACCCAGGTTCCCCTCTTGCTTGAAATCTGTCCCCCTAACATCCCCAGTTCTGAGAATAGCTCTTCCTCCCGAAGTTCACAGATCTCCCAACCTGGGGCCCTCCCTGACCTCAGACTCCTCTTCTCTTCCAGGAGGAGTGATGGGCAGAACCAGCGCTTCCCTCAGGCACTAGACCCGCCAAGAGTGGACTCAGTCCCCTCCCAGACTGCTTCATTCCACCCAAAGGTAGGTGCTCGCCTCCCCAGGGCCCCCGTCTGGAGGACCCCCACCCAGGGCCAGGAGATATCTAAGAGTGACTGCTGTGCAGAGGTGAAATGTTTGGGTCCCTGCGGCTTGGAGTTTAGCTCCCCAGGGGGACACCACCCCTCACCCCTGGTGACCTAACACAGTCTCAGAGGTTGAACCAGGTCTGTAGCAAGGTTGGGGGCCAAACAGCTGGGAGTAAACTGGCCGAATAGCTCTTCTTCCTTATCTTCATTATCAACATCACCATCCATTTCCTCATCTGTAACTCGGGTGTAATGAGAGTATCCCAATTCACAGGGCTGCTTCTCAGAGTAACCCTGTGGAGTGGGGGAAAGTGTGAAAAAGGGAAGATAAAACACTGTGCATAATATCTGGCACAGAGTAAAAGCCCTGTAAATGAGGCTATTCTTGTTGTTATCGTCAAAATCAAATGTTTGCCCAGCACATGACCTGTGTCAACTTTCTGCTGGGTGCTGAGGTGCTGGAAATCAATCTGACACAAACGCTGCCGTCAAGGAGCTGTGGTCTGGTTAGGAGATAGATAACTAGACAGCTTCTGCAGGGTGTCCAATACCAGTAATAACCGCTAGCATTTACTGAGATTTACTACGGGCTAAGTGGGTTCTTAATGTTTTGCATGCAGGATCTCATTTTGTCCTCAGACTATAGCTACTGTGGACTTACATTAGTACTCTTCTTAGTCCCATTTTGCAGATAAGAAAATCGAGGCTCAGAGAGGTTAAGTTACTTGCTCAAAGACACACAGGTAGGATGTGATGGGTCCAGGACCAGAACTCATGTTATCTGCCCAGAGTTCCTGGTCTGGTGGCATTTCTAATGCAGAGGGTAACAAGCTCTCACTTTTGTAGTACACTTTTCAGATCCTAAAGCATGTCCATAGATATCATGCTTCCAGTCCTGTCATCAAACTGTGGGTGGTAGGCATTCTCGAGATAAGGATCCAGATGCCCAGAGAGGTAAAGTGGTCTTCCCAAGGTCACACAGCCAATAAATAGCAGACGCAGGATATGCCAAGCTTCTTGCCCAGAACTCTGACCTGGAACAAGGGCCAGGAGGGGTGTATGGCCAAGGAATAGTGTACTTTTGGGGGATCACCACCTCCAAGGGGGTCCAAGTGTAGGTCCTAGGGACTATATCAGGGGGTCCGTGAGATCCTCTCCTGCTGTCTATGCCTGGGCAACAGCCCAAGACTGGGCCGTGTGGACCCTGGGACTTGGACGGGAGCGACTCCATGGCAGCTGGGTTCAGAAGTGAGGTTCCCAGTCCTTGTCTCCCTAAGCATCCGGCAGGAGGCCCGGGTTCACTTTCCCTCCCTGCGCCTCAGTGTTCCCATCAGAAACATGAGGGTCAGTGGAGCCCGTCTCCCTGAGTCCTGCCTGCTCAGGTTAGCCCTGGCCTCTTGCCCAATTTGGCTGGAAGCCTCCATTTGTGCCAACACAGGCTCAGATGGCTGCAGGCCCCAGACCGCCCCGTCCCACAGCCCATGGCCTCCCCAGGATCAAGACACAGTCGATGTATTGTTCTCCTTTGACAGGACAGGAAGCCGAGGCCCAGAGAGACTGAGTGATCCATCTGGGTCCCCAGCAAATCAGGGAGGGGTGAAGGGTCCCAGGTCTGTGACACGTTCTCCGCCCCCCTCTCCCGGCTCTGCTCACATTAATAATGTTGATGGTGGAGCCAGTCCGAGGAGCAGGTGACCTCTGTGCATCAATGGGCAAAGCCCTGCCCCTCCCTGGGCCTCAGGTTCTCGTCTATAAAATAGAGGGGACAGTTTCTTCTCTACCCACCAGGCCCCCTTGCAAAAGGGTGATGACTGTGAAAGTAATCTTGGAAAGTTGCAATCAAGAAGTTGAGTGATGATGAGCCTCATTATGTTCCCAGGGCAGGAGAAAACACCCAGAAGGGACATCTCTCTCTCACTGGGAAGCCGCATTGGTATAGACACAGAGCTACCCAAGGCACCCCTACCCTGTTTCCTTGTAGGGGTTTTTCTACTCAAGGATTTAGAACTCTGCACCTGTTTACATATACAGCCTACCCACACCTACATACATGGACACATCCGCACGTCTGCAGATGTATGCAGACTTGCACATGTGCACATGCATGTATATACAGATACACATGTACAAACACACCTAGAATGTCCACGAACACACATCACACCTGCTCTCAGAGTCACATGCACACACAGTTGCAGGCACGCATGTGCGCAGTCTCCACTCCTGGCACACACACATCTCCACTGATGCAGGTAGCTCTTGCCTCCTCCCCGTGTGGGAATGAATGTTTCTCTGGCTGCATTTTGATGGGTGCCCGGAAGCGCTCAGGCCTGAAAGTGCCTGCATAAATCAATATTTGCTGCTGTTAATTATTAAAAACAAAGCTACACCGTGTCTGGAACACACATCTCCAGGGTTCCCGCCGGCTTCCTGGGCTCCAGCCTGACCCATGGCCAGGTCTAGGGGAAAGGAAGGTGCAGTACCTTCCTTCCAGGAGCCCTTGGCCCTGAGATGGAGAGTGGTGGGTAGCTGCCAACAACTCCTTCAGGAAGCTGAAGAGAGGTGGGGTACTGAGCTGGTGGGCAGCCCTGCCCTGTAGGATCCGAAGCAGCTGGTGTGGACTTGGCCACAACTCAGGAAGCAATTACTGCTTTCCCAGCATCTGTCTGGGGAGGGGGTGCTGCGGCCCTGCCCCCACTCAGAGTGGCAGACACAATGCAGGGTCAGCTGGAAGGGCCTGCGGAGGCCTTGTATTTTGCAGCTGGGGAAGCTGAGGCCTACAGAGGTGGCAGGAACTCACTCAAGGCAACCTGGCAAGTTGTAGCAAGGGCAGAGCTAGAACCGACAGATCCTGAAGTCCCCTCCAGGCATGGGGCCTTGGCAGCCCCTGTTCCTGCCCTCTCCTAGGGTCAGGGGCAGTAAAGGACAGGTATGGGCCTGGGGCCTGGGGAAGCCAGGGTACCAGTTTGCCTCTATCAGGTATTGGTGGGGAGGGAGGTAGATTCCTAGTTCTGCCTTTTCCTAGCTGTGTGACCTTGAGCAAACGTTATCTCTTGGAATCAGTTTTCTCTTCTGTAAAATGGGGATGACACTCCTACCTCTTGAGTTGTGGGGAGAGGATCAGACTTGCAAAGGGTCCAACATTAAGCAGATGCTCAACCCCTCTGTCTTCAAGCTAAGCCTCCCATCCCCGCCGCTTCCTTCCCGACTTCAAAGCCCAGCTCAAGAAGCCCATCTCTGAGGCCCTGAGGCACAGTACCCAGAGGAGATTAAGTTCAGTCGCTCAGTCGTGTCTGACTCTTTGCAACCCCATGGACTGCAGCATGCCAGGCCTCCCTGTCCATCAACGGCCCCTGGCGCCCCCCGGCCGTCCCCGGAGGGGATCGTTGCCTGCAGGGGCCGGCTGGCAGGTGAGGACCGGGGCGAAGGCCGAGGGGTGTCCCCCGAGAGACAGTTCGGCCCAACTTCTTCGGAGCCCGGCGGGCTCTGTCCCGAGCAGGGCGGGTGTGCGAGGCTCCGTCATGGAGGGTGTGTTCGCTTCTGGGCTGACACCCGGCCACCGCGGCCACGGGGCACACCCCTGCCCTGGGGTCCCAGGCCCTGGGCTCTTTCTGCAGCTGCCTAAGCAACAGAGTGCCGTGGTGGAGCCGTGGCTCTGGGCCAGAGGGGCGCTCCGTGTGTATGTGTGTGTGTGTGTGTGTGTGTGTGTGTGTGCACGCGCTCGCCTTGGGACCACTTCATCCGTCCCCTCCCCCCCCCCTTAACGAGGGGTCTGAATGTCACCGTGTAACTGCTTGGTGTCCCTGGGCCGCTTGGCTCCCAGCCTTCCCCGTGTCTGGTACATGAGTGAGGCTGGATCTGTGGTGTCACTTGTTGCTACTCGCTCTGGGTGACAGGTGACATGTGTTCGGTGGTGAGACTCCCGGAGCCTGCTCCTGGTGAGGTCACCCCAAGTGGGGTGTCCTGGAGGATACAGGTGCCCCGGAATGGCCAGCGCTGGGCCTGTGCTGGGTTGAGGCTGTGTGGCTCATTTGGGCACACAACTGCTGTTGTTTTCCAAGGTGCAGCACATGCTGCTTGCTGTACAAGGTGTTGGTCGACAGGCGTGTTTGTCTGCCGGGACTGTGTGTCTGTGGTCGCCGCCGTCGCTGCCTGTGCAGTTGTCTCTCCCAAGCTCCCAAGTGTCGGGTGTGGCCGCGAGGGCCGTGGGTCGCCCACCTCCTAGGGACACCTATTGTGCATTTTCCAGGGTGGGCATTTCTGTGGGCAGGCCTCACAGTGGGGTGCACGTGGGGTGTCCGTGTCTCGTGATCTTTCACAGAGCTCTGTCTGTGGGTGGGAGGGGGGGTTCAGACCCAAGCCCCACATCCTTGGCAATTAAGCACTCCCCTAGTTATTGCATGCTTTTTTTTCTTTTTCTCAGAGTGCTGTGGCATCAAGTCTGCTGTGTCTGTTACACGGGGTGTGTGACTCTGCTGGGGAGGGCGAGCTTGTGGGTGGGGGTGGGGCTCCGTGGCTCCACTTCCATGAGCAAACCTCCCTGCGTCTGCAAGCGCATGTTATTGTGTCTCTCAACACAGGCTTGAGAGCGGTCGTGTGGTGTCTGTGTAGCTTTATGTGCAATTACTGGTACAGTCGCACAGATTTTCATATGGGTAAGGCTTCCCAGGGGGCTCAGTGGTAAAGAACCCACCTGCCACTGCAGGAGGCCACTCGAGTTCGATCCCTGGGTCGGGAAGATCCCCTAGAGATAGAAATGGCAACCCAAGCCGCTCCAGTATTCTTGCCTGAGAAATCCCATGGACAGAGGAGCCTGGTGGGCTATAGTCCATGGGGTCTGCAAAGAGTTGGACAGGACTGAGCGACTAAAAGCAAGCACAGCAAAACACAGGGGTGGGTTTGCCTCTGTGTGTGTGACTCCTGGGGGGACATGGACCTCTGTGTGTGTGAGGGAGCGTGCTGTTGTGCAACATAGGACACTGATATGCGTATGTGTATGTCGTGTGTAGCTCTGAGTCTGAGAAGTGGTGTACACAGACCTGGTGGATTTGTGCATGTGGGTTTCTGGGTGTTTGCTTTCTTTGGTACAGTGAGACTGTGTTTAAATATTGGTGTGCAGGCCTATGTGTGTTTGATCCAGAGAGAGAGAGAAAGAGAAAGAGGGTGTATGTGCTTCCTGGTGCACAACCCCACGGCACACGTGTGTGTGAGCTCCAGGGTTGCCCCCACTGGGCAGCAGGAGCCGACTGAATTGAGGCCTTGAAGGTGTTGGGGGAGGGGCGCCCTCCTAGAGACTCCGGGGGCTTCCCAGGCCCAGCCCCCAGCCCCGCCAGCCAGCAAGGATGCCGCCTTCCTGGAAGGCTCGTAGGGAGTTGGCGCTGGAGAGGCCGAAGCTGCCAAGCACAGCTGGCAGATGGCTGGATTAACCCCGTGTGTGCCCAGGCTGGCCTCGAGAGAGCCCGGCGGCCGTGTGAGAGGGAGGAGGGGGTGTGTGTGCACGCACATGCAGGTAGGGGAGAGTGTGTGTGCACTCACACACAGGTAGGGGAGGGTATGTGTGCACTCACACGCAGGTATCGGGCCAGTGGGACAGCTCAGCATCCTCTCTCGGCCCCCCGCCCCCCCCGCCAGCCCCCAGGCCCACACTGCTTGGTGGGGAGGGTGGGGTCCTCCTTCCAGAGGTGGGTGGAACCACCAACTCTCCCCAGGATCCCAGCTGGGTTCATCTCTGGAGCTGCAACCTGGGACTCCTCTGAGGGGCTCGTGGGCCAATCCTGGCACTGCCGCTCTTGCGGTGCGTCTCTCCCTAAAGGTCACGGCCCTCTTGTCTGAGGTCCTCCTTTGGGGCAGAGCATCAGTTGGGAGGGCTGCCTGGTGAGGGTCCTGGGCTCTGGGTGGACGACCCTGGGCAGTTGGTCAGACTCTGCCAGTCCGAGGCTCAGAGCCCCAGCCTAAACGGTGTCCCTTTGGGTCCCTCTTGCTGCTCGGACAGGTCCCCGGGGTTGGTCAGAGTTGGAGGACCAGGAGGGCTGGGGTGGGTGGAGACACCCTGGGGACTTGTGGGGTCTGCGGGGCCATCCCAGCACTGACTTGCTCTCTCCATCTCTGTTGCAGAACACAGATCTGTTTGAGATGATTGAAAAGATGCAGGTGAGGTGGGCTCTGAAGCCTGTTCTGGGGAGCCACGGAGGGGGCTGGGCTGGGGCTGGGGGGTCGGTCCTTGCTATATCTTCAGCCCTACATCTCTCTGAGGACTGGCCCGGGAGCTCTTGCTGACCGTGCTGGGAGGTGACGGTGCGGCGTCCAGAGCTCCCCGTCGGGGTCAGAAGAGAGGCCGGGCACTGATAACGCCCAGCTCCCTGGCTGACCCCGGGCCCAGGCCCCACTTGGGTCTCCCCAGCTCCCATTCCTGTGGAGGCAGCCGGAGTCAGCCCCTCAACCCGCCCCCACCTACATAGAGCATCGCCTGTCTCCCAAGAGCATCGCAGGCTCTGTAGGACCCCCATGTGGAGCGGGAAGAGGGCACGGTGCAACCAGAGGCTGGGCTGCAGGTTCCGGGGAGGGCAGCCCCCATCCCCCTGCCTGCCCCCTCCGCTCCTCTGCTCTGGTCTTCCAGGCCCCTTGCCTGCTGTTTGGCTCGGGTGGGTGTTGAGAGGTGTGGGCAGGGGACTTGAACAGAGCTCGGGAGCTTGCCTGAGTTTGGTTCACCCTTCAGACCCGGTCCCCCGCCATCTTTCTGTTTCTCTGCCTCTGAGTTTTCTCGTCTTTCCGTTCCCACCTCTCCCCCTCCTTCTCTCCCTTCCTCCCCGCCCTCCTTCCTCTTTTGCTCCTTCTCAGCGTGCATCTGTGTAGACACGGCTGCGGCCTCCCTCCCCAGCTCCTGCATCAGCCCTGCCCCCACTCCCAGCAGCGGCCAGCGCCCCCAGCTGCTGCCCGCCTCCCTCAGCCCCAGGGCCTTCTAGGAGGGCCTGTTCTTCCGAGGCCAGCCGGAGGCCTGGGTACCCAGCACCCTGCCCTGGGAGCACCCACCCCTACCCCACCCCCACATCACCATCTACCTGGAGAGGGTGCTGCCTGCAGCGGGGAGCGGCCCTGTGCTGGGCATGGCAGGGCTGTGATGGGCTGTGCTGCCTTCTCTTTGCAGGGAAGCAGGATGGATGAACAGCGATGCTCCTTCCCACCACCCCTCAAAGTAGGTCTGGATGCCAGTCCCACTCCACCTTTCTGGGGGCGTTTGGCTGAGCAGCGCGCTCCCAAGGGCTTGGGGATGGAAGGGGATGGGGACGGGGGAGGCAGGCCCCCTTTCTAGGAGTGGGAGAAGTGACGGCCCAGTGGAGCAGCCAGCCCAGGAGAACCCAGCATCCTTTCCTGGAGCAGTCTCACTGCTGGCCAGGTGCTAAGGCCAAGGGGGACGCTGGGCACACCTAGTCCCTGCGCTCTGGGAGGCCGAGATGGCGGAGAAACACTTGCTTGCTATAGACCTGGGGCCCTGATTCCACTCCTCCTCACCCGCTCTACCCCGCTGTAAACTCACCCTGCCTCTCCAGGCTTCCCCCTTCCCAGAACTGAAGCCCCATCCCTCACGGCAGCCTGCTCTAAGAGGTTTTCCTTGAAGCCAGCTACGATGAGCAGTTTCAGGAAGATGCAGGCCCAGGACCCAGGAGGCGTGTGCCCCCACCCCACCCCCCCCACCCCAGGGGAGGGGGTGGCCCTTCCAGAGGAGACTGCCAGGACACTCAGGACTGAAAGGCACGTATGGAGTTTCTTTAGACTCAGAATTTTCTTGGTGTGGGGGCTGCAGGGCCCCTCCTGATAGGTATCGAGCTTTGTGGTGGGTGACTGGGGACCCCTGCCCTCCAAGAAGACCAGTGGCTCCTGCAGGAGTGGGCCCGGGGCTGCCGGGATAAGGGCTTTCCTGGGCACAAGGCTCATGCTTTGTCCAGAGCCAGGCTGCTCAACGTGTGGTCCTCAGACCAGCAGTATCAGCGTCACCTGGAGGGCAGGTTGGCATGTAAATTCTTGGGCTCCAGCCAGACCCACAGCCTCAGAAACTCTGGGGGTGGGGCACAGCAGTCTGTGTAACCAGCCCCCCAAGCATTCCCATGCACTGAGGCCCACCGGTCCAGAGGTGTATCTTCTGGGAAGGCAGTGAGCCTCCTTTTCCCCAGGCAGAAGGGGGCCCAGCCTGCCAGCACTTGGTGAGCTCAGCCTGCCCCAGCCCCTGCCTCGTGGGGCCACCCCCCAGCCCCCCACCATGGGATGGGGAGGTGGGAATACAGCCGCATCCACTCCTCCCGCCTGGGGAGGCTGGAGGAAAAGGGTGACCTCTGCCCTGCCCTGTTTTGCAGACGGAGGAGGACTACATTCCATACCCGAGCGTCCACGAGGTAAGCAGCCGGAGACTCCACAGGGCCTGTCTCCACCCTGAGCCTGGGAGATGCTCTCACAGGGAGTCCGGACACCCGGGTCCTCCTCCGCGTCACGAGCCTGACTGCAGGCCTTGCTGTGGGTGCTGGAGCCTCTGTTTACAGGCCCAAGACTTCAGAGCCCATTCGAACCCTTAGGCGTCTGAGCCCACACGCCAGCCTGTCCCCACACCCACATCCTCCGAGGCTGTGTGTGTCTGGGCTGGGGCCTGCAGGGGGAGGAAAAGGGTTGCAGGAAAAAATTGGTTTGGTTTGGCCAAAAAGTTGCTTTGGGTTTTTTCCATCCCATCGTCTGTAAAAACCTGAACCAACTTTCTGGCCATCCAAATAGGTGGGAGGGGGCCCTGGGTGTGAGCCCGGGACCCTCAGAGGCTCCGGGCTGTCCCCTGGTATCCCTCAGCCGTGGCAGAAGTGGCTCTGGGTCCGCGTTGGGGGGTATCCTGGGGCCCCGAGGTGCGGGGTGAGTGGCTCTCAGCTGCGTGCTCCCTCAGGTCCTGGGCCGAGAAGGGCCCTTCCCCCTGATCCTGCTGCCCCAGTTCGGGGGCTACTGGATTGAAGGCACCAATCACGAAGTCACCAGCGTCCCAGAGACGGAGCCGCTGCAGTCGCCCACGACCAGGGTGAAGCTGGAGTGCAACCACACCGCCCGCCTCTACCGGAAGCACTTTCTCGGCAAGGTGGGGAGGCCCGCTGGGCTGGGGGCGCTGGGCTGGGGGGGGTCACAGCCCAGCCCTGGGGGTGGAGGCTGGGCCGGCCAGCCGTCCCGGGAGTCCAGGGAGCACGCGTCGTGGATTCGCTCATTCAATCAGCAAACACGGATGACACCAAGGCAGTGTGATGGCATCTGGTTAGCAGAGTCTGCCTCTAACTACGTGGGGCCCCGGGCAAGGTGCTTTCCCCTCTGTGTGCCTTGGTTTCTTCATCTGTACAAACAGAGAGGGTGGTGATTCCCACCTCGTGCCTTCAACGCGATGATATTTGTGAGGCGTACAGAAAGGCCTCTGGCGCCAAGCAAGTGCTCGGTGAGCAAGTGATGAGCACCAGCTGGGTGCCCGGTCCGGTTCTGGGCACTAGCGATGCAGCAGCGGACAAAGCAGCCCCAGGCCGTGCGCTCAGGCAGCTTGAAGTGGGGAGATGGTAATGCCGTGGGGTGACCCAGACGGGGGCAACCCCTACGCCACTGCCCGCCCCAGATCCAGGATGCTGCCCCGTACGGTGTGTGCTAGTATCACCCAGCTCCTAGGCGGATGCTGTTGGACGAGGCAGTGGGAGCTGGGGAGGAGGTCACACGCCGGGACCACACTCCAGGCACCATCAGTTACAAGTGAGGTGGCGGAATGGTGCGTGGGCTCTGGGGCCTTGTGACCCCGGGGGCGCGTCTCGGCTCCTCCGTTAATTCATGGCGTGACCTTGGGCAAGCTGTTCAACCTTCTTGAGCCTGTTTTCTCATCTATAAAAATGAGGATGATAAAAGTACACGTGAAGCATCGAGAACCATGCTTGGCCCATAGTAGGTACTCAGTGAAATGTTAACTGTTATTACGTTTTCATAATTAACTCTGTGATATCAGGACTGTCCTGATTTTTCCAGAAGAGGAAACAAGAGGCTCAGAGGTAAAGTGAATCGGTTCAGGTCACACAATTACTGAGCTCGGAGCTGGACCTAGCTCTGGCTGACCTTCCATTAAGCCGTGCTGTGGGAAGAGTCTGGCTTCCCAGGTGGCGCTAGTGGTAAAGAACCTGCCTGCCCATGTAGGAGACACTAGAGACGCAGGTTCGATCCCTGGGTCGGGAAGATCCCCTGGAGGAGGGTGTGGCAACCCACTCCGGTATTCTTGCCTGGAGAATCCCATGGACAAAGGAGCCTAGCAGGCCACAGTCTATAGCATCGCGAAGAGTCAGACACAATTAAAGAGACTTAGCACACACATCGTCATGTTCCTGGCACTTGCACACATGCATGTATGTGTGTGTGTGTGTGTGTGTTTGTGCACATGCGGGAAGGAGGCACAACTCTCTGAGGTGTTGAGGGGCTGCGTGTACTGAGTCTGGGTCCAGGGCGTTGGCCTGATGCTGGTGGGTATGGGTGCTAAAGTGGGGGGAAAGGGTGACCGAAACCAAACCAGCAGGCTTGGGTCGGGAGCTATTGCCTGGGGACAAACCCACAAACCCAGAACCGGGCAGGGGATTGCACCCATGAGTGGCGGGCGACCTGCACCCCACGAGCCCACTGTCCAGAGGCTCTTAGTTGGTGGGACCTGGGGGGCTGTGTGGACCGAGCATACAGTTGGCACTCAGAGGAGTTTGCTGACGGAGTGATGAGTGACAGCGGTGAATGACCACTCACCATGAAGGTGCAGCCGTGAGCACCAGAGGATTGGAAGGAGTACAGGTTGGGGGTTCCTGGAGGAGGTATAATGACACGTGGGCCCCGTCCTGGCAGAGGTTAGGGTGACTTTGGCCTTGACCCCCTGGGACCCTGAGCCCACTCTCCTTGGGCTTCTCGGGCGCTGGCCGGGGGAGGGGCAGTCTGGGGGAATCTCCCCACCCTGAGGACTTTGGTGTAGCCCTCCTTTCCAAGTGCCTGCCTCTCCCTTTCTGCAGATGGTGCCAAGCATTGGGGGGGTTCCCATTACTCTGTACCCCAGCAGGACTGGGGGGTCTCTGCCCCAGGTCCCCACAGACTGCGCCTGAGCTGTGGATGTGTGGGGTCCATCCCCTGGCCCTTGCATGTTTTTCCTCCTGCCCTTTGAGTGCAGCTGTTTATATTTAAATAGGACTTCCTTCCTCAATGATGACTTCTGGGGCGGGCGTGGCTGAGGAGCCAAGCTGGCAGGAGAACGCAGGGCCACGTGGGGTAAAATCTGGCACCCCGGCCCGTGGCCTTGGGGCCTCCCCACCTGGAGGTGGCAGCTCTGCCCTGCTCTCCAGGGGTGCCAGCCCTGCCGCAGTTTCCCCTGGGCCCTGGGGAGTATTTCTTCCCAACCTCCTGGCTTCCCAGGTACAGCGGCGGGAGGGTAGGAACCGGCTGGGTCAGCCGCCCAGCGTGTTCATGATGTTTCATTTCCTGATTTCCTGAGTCTCACGGGTCCTGGCTTCGGGGGCCACAGAGCTAGGGGTTGAACGGTCAGTCAACATGTTTTTATTGAGCACCTACTGTGTGGGCTTCCCAGATGGTGCCGTGGTAAAGAACCCGCCTGCCAGTGCAGGAGACGAAAGAGACACAGGTTCGATCCCTGGGTCTGGAAGATCCCATGGGGTAGGAAATGGCAACGCACTCCAGTATTCTTGCCTGGGAAATGCCATGGACATGGAGACTGGTGGCCTACAGTCCAGGGGGTCGCAAAAGAGTCGGACATGCCTGAGCGCATGTGTGTGCACACACACAGACACACAGACACACGCACACACAGACACTGTGCTCAGCTCGGAGAAGGGCAGGGGCTGGGAGATGCCCTGTGTGTGCAGACGTGGTCCTGACTTTGCTGAGGACTCAGAGAGCCGAGGTTACTCCAGACATTCAGGAACCCCTTCTCTGCTTCGGACCCTGTCTGTTCCAGCCCCTGCCGCCTTCCCACAAGATAGTTGGCCTCACTCCCATTTTGTAGACTAGGAAACGGAGGCACAGAAGGAAAGGTGACCTCAGGTTGCCCTGTTGGCCAGCAGCAAAGCTGGGATTTAAATGCAGGTCTCTTTGAGAGCGTCTCTGGTGGCTCAGAAGGTAAAGAATCTGCGTGCAATGCAGGAGACCCAGGTTTGATCCCTGGGTGGGGAAGATCCCCTGAAGAAGGAAAGGGCAACCGACTCCAGTGTTCTTGCCTGGAGAATCCCATGGACAGAGGAGCCTGGCGGGCTACAGTCCATGGGGTTTGCAAAGAGTCGGACACGCTGAGCGACTCACACACACGCACTGTCTGAGGCAGAGTGTGCTGTCAGCCCGGGCACCTGCTGCCTGGGGAGGGGCCCCCGCCCAGGGGTGAGCTGGCCTTCTGGCCGGGTTCTGGAAGCCTCAGGCTCAGCCTCGCTCGCCCCCTTGGCCCCCGTCCCCCCCCAGGAGCACTTTAACTACTACTCGCTGGACACCGCCCTGGGCCACCTTGTCTTCTCACTCAAGTACGACGTCATCGGGGACCAGGAACATCTGCGGCTGCTGCTCAGGTGAGGGCGCGGCGGGGGGCCTGCGGCAGCTGGGAGGGCCGCGGACTCGGGGTCTGTGAGCCCGCCTCAGTTTACCTGCTCCTCTCGTGGAGGCCCAGAGAGGGCCAGTGATTTTCCTGAAGCTGCACAGCAAGTCCACGCCTGAGCCAGGCCTGGCCCCACCTCCCCTCCGGACCTCCCGGAGGTCTGCCCCTCCTGGTCTTACTGGCTGGGGCAGGGCTCCCGTCTCCCTTTCCCCCTTCCTCACCCCTCAGTGTGGGTTTTCTTCTCCCAGGACCAAGTGCCGGACATACCATGACGTCATCCCCATCTCCTGTCTCACTGAGTTCCCCAACGTGGTCCAGATGGCAAAGGTGAGGCCTCTGCTCCATCAGGCGGAGCCCTGCCGGCAACCCCCGTGGGCCCAGAGCTGGGCTGCGGCCTGGCCCCTGCAGACCCTCGGCTTTAGCCCCAGATCCTGGCCTGGGTGCTGTGGCCTGTCTCTGGAGCCTGCCTCTTCTGTGTTCCCCTGATGCCCGCACGCTGGCTGTGTGTTTGGGGCACTCTTTAGGGCACCTTTTGGAGACAAGGGTCCCCAGTTCTCCCTACCCCATTCTGAGTGACTGTGAGCCTCCAGGCCTGCTTCAGCCTTGACTGCACGCCTCTCTGTCGTCCCGCTGTCCCCCGCCACCAGACTTTGGCCCGGGAGGCCCAGACGGCCCATCTTCATACCTTCCCTTCTCTCCTCCTGCAGTTGGTGTGTGAAGACGTGAATGTGGATCGATTCTACCCTGTGCTCTACCCCAAGGTATGGCTGGACCTGGGGAGGGCAGGTAACTAGGGGATCAGGCATGGATCGGGCACCTGCGGTGTGCAGGGTACTTTTCCTAAGTTCTCTCATTTAATCCTCACAACAAGCCTGCAGAGTCCGCAGTTTGTAGAAGAGGAACTAGAGGCCCAGAAAGCCTTGGTGCCTTGTCTAGGGATGCCCAGCAGATAAGGAAGTCCACATTTGAATCCAGTGCTGTCTGCCTGGAAGGTAACTGCCTTCCAGTTACCTCTGGAAACTCACAAGTGCCCTTCTAAGGGTCATCTGTGCTCCCGAGCCAAGGATCCACTGGCCTTGCCTTCCGACTCCGGAGAGGACCTGGGGAGAGGGTAACACAGGCGCCTCCGTAGGTACCAGCCAGCAGATGGCAGCTGTGCTTGCGGCTCTGTTGCTGGGTGCTGAAGACACTGTGAAAGTGTGGGATGGAGAGGGGCTTCATCTTCAGTAAGCCAGGGGGCTTCTCAAAAGAGCTGGACCCCGAAAGACACATACAGCCTGTGGCTCTGACTGAATTCCCCAGCAAGGTGAGGTCCCTGAGAAGTGAGTGGTCCAGGAAAGGTCCCCTGAAGGAAGGGGTCTCTGATCGGGTCCCACATCCCAGGTACAGAAGAGGACAAGGTGAGGAGGGGAACTTGCTCAAGGCTCCACAGCACAGTGGGGGGACTCGGTCTGTTCCAGAATGATGAGATGGCTTCACAGAAGAGCCGGACTTCAGGCCGGTGTTAGAGCAGAGTTGGGGCGGGAGCTCGTGAGCAACACTCAGGCTTTGGAATCCAACTGAGTTCAAGCCCCAGCTATGCCATCTGCCAGCTGTTGACCTTAAGTTGGTTCCTTAAGCTCTTGGAACCTCAGCATCTTCATCTGTGAAATGAGGGTAGCAGGAGTCCCTCATGGACCCCTTCCAAGAAGATGAGATGATGTGTGTGGAGTGCCTGGCACAGTGCTTGGCACATAGAGCCATAAACAGCAACTTGAAAAGGCGGTGTGTCAGACTTGAAGGGAATGAACTTATGGTTCCCAGTGGAGAAGGATGGAGGGAAGGGATAGTTAAGGAGTCTGGGAAGGACATGTACTTACTGCTATATCTAAAATGGATAACCGACAAGGGCCTACTGTGCGGCATAGGGAACCCTGCACAGTGTTACATGGCAGCCGGGATGGGAGGGGAGACTGGGGGAGAACGGATACATGGATGTGTATGGCTGAGGTGCTTCGCTGTGTACCCGAAACCGTCACAACATTGTTAATCGGCTGTATGCCCATATAAATAACAAAGTATAAAAAGGAAGAAAAACAAACAGTGTGTTTCATTCGTCACCCTTTCCCTGCAGGCCTCCCGCCTCATCGTCACCTTCGATGAGCATGTCATCAGCAATAACTTCAAGTTCGGAGTCATTTACCAGAAGCTCGGGCAGGTGTGCTGACCTCCTCCTCCCCGCCCCCGCCCATCTGCCCACCTACCGGGGGCCTCAGACCTTGGCCATGGAGAGCACCTACCTGGGGACTCGAGCTCAGGAACCCCGGGGCTGCCAGAGGTCCCCCTTCCAGCCTTTCTGGGTGAGTGGGGGATGGCACCCGAGCTCGATGACCTCTGCCCTCTGCGTGCCTGCCCCTCCCACAGACCTCCGAGGAAGAGCTCTTCAGCACCAATGAGGAGAGCCCCGCCTTCGTGGAGTTCCTCGAGTTTCTGGGCCAGAAGGTCAAACTGCAGGACTTCAAGGGGTGAGCCCCGGGTTGGGATAAGCAGAGGAGAATCTGACCCATGCCTCTGGGCAGGGACGGAGCCCCCGTCCTGGCCCCACTGAGGCCTGGCTGGGGCTGGAGACTGAGCCGTGGCCTGGGGGCGGGGCCTGGGGCAGGTTCCGAGGAGGCCTGGACGTGACCCACGGGCAGACGGGGACCGAGTCTGTGTACTGCAACTTCCGCAACAAGGAGATCATGTTTCACGTGTCCACCAAGCTGCCCTACACAGAAGGGGACGCCCAGCAGGTAGCCTCCTGCCTGTCCTCCTGTGCCCCATCTACCTGCCCCTTCAGCATCCACCACACCAGACTCAGGGGGCCCTGGGATAGGGAGAGGGAAGTGATCCAGTCCCCCGATTTGTGGCCTCCTCTGGTTGGGGGCAGGGTGAAAAGTGGCTGTGATGCCATGGAAGCCTCAGTTTACACATCTGTGAAATGGGGATGATAATGGCACCTACCTCACAGGTGAGCCCAAGTGAGAGGCTGCACACAGAGTGTCTAGCACAGTATCTGATACCGATGGAGCAGGAGATCAGTAAGTGTGAGGATTTTTACTGGGAGTGAAGGGTTTTGTCAGGTCACGTGGGGGCACTTAGACTTGGCAGAGGTGGGAGTCAGGCAAAGTGTTCAAGATCAAGTGACTTTTAGGCTGCAGAGGAGGTGGGAGAGGGAGGCAGAGTGTTCCTGGGGAGAATAGTGGCTCCCGCCTTCTGCAGAGGCCTGGTGATGAGGAAGCCCAAGGCACGTTCCCCGAGCTGAACTCAGAGATCTGTCACCTTGTCCTAAGCTTCCTGGGAGCTGCATGCCTCCACCCCAGGCGGATGAGGGCGAAATGGGAGAAAAATGGAAGCGTTTCTTCCTTGCCCTTAATGTCTTTTCATTTTCTATGAATGAGATTCTCTGTTCCTTTTAGCAAGTCATATATACCGAGCGGAGCTTTACTTGTTCAGGAGGGGCCATGTGTGGGGTGTTTAGACAGGAGGAGGGCAGAGAGGTAGGGCCCCAGGGCCCTGGGTTCAAGTCCCCTAGGTCACTGGAAGACCCTGCTCTCTCAGCCTCAGCATTCTCCTCTGTCACGGAATTCCAAGAAAACAAATTTTAAGACCAGTTTCTCGCCACAGTTTTCTGGGGGGAAGCAGCTCCCTAGATGTGCCCCAGCCCCCTCCACCCCGGCGGGCACCCTCCCCGAGCCCCCGGGCCCCGTGGCCTGGCACTGAGAGGCTGTGGCCCTGTGCTCAGTTGCAGCGGAAGCGACACATTGGCAACGACATTGTGGCTGTGGTCTTCCAAGATGAGAACACGCCTTTTGTGCCGGACATGATTGCGTCCAACTTCCTGCACGCCTACGTGGTGGTGCAGGCCGAGGGCGCGGGCCCTGACGGGCCCCTCTACAAGGTGGGTGATCTCGGAGCTCCTCAAGGGCACCCTCCTAGCCCCCTCCTCACTCGCTGTAAGGCCCCTCTGAGTCTCAGTTTTCCCAGGTTTAAATAGGGGGGCTCACCGGAGGACTCTGAGCCCGGCTGCTGCCCGGATGATGGTGGAGGATTCCCATCCCGCCCTCTCTGTTGCCTGAAGTCCGTCCCCTCAAAGAGGCTGCTTACCCTCCTCTGCCCTTTAGTCTCCTCCTCCTCTCGGCCCTCATGAGCCCGGAGACCCTCCACCCCTCCTCACCACTCAAATCCAGGACTAAGGATGGAGCCGCTGAAAACCTGGGGTCGGCCCACCCCATCTGTAGTCACTGAATATCCCCCGTTAAGGGGCAGCCCTGTGCCCAGCACCGGGCTAGGGAGACGAATCGGGTCTCTGGCTGGTGTTGGGACCCCCCCAGGGACACCCGCCCTCCCTTCCAGGTGTCCGTCACGGCGAGAGATGACGTCCCCTTCTTTGGACCACCCCTCCCGGACCCCGCTGTGTTTCGGAAGGTGAGGGGCAGCCCCCAGCCCCACCACGGGCCGAGCAGGACTGAATGGGTGGGGGCCTTGGGGGTGCACAGTGCGCTGTGCTAGGTCGTGGAGCCTGCGTGTGCCAGGGTAGCCAGGCCCCCCTAACCGATGGGCTGGGGCCCAGCTTTTCTGTCCATCTTGGTAAGAACTGTGACTGTTTCACAAAGTCACAGAGCAGACTGTATCATTGCTTTCCATTCCGCATAGCAGACTCTGTGGCCTTCCCTCCAGTCTTGTCTTTTTGACAATTTCAGTCTTCTTCTACAGTGTTTGGGGATGGGGGCACACGTCTCTCACCTCTCAGGAGAAGCCTTGGCTCCAGTTCCCCAACAGATCCCCCAGACTGAGGCGGTGGGAGACCCCCACCCAGCTGTCCTGAGGGGTGGGCAGCCGTGAAGGGCATAGCGGGGCTCTCACAGGCGCCTGGGCTGGGGCACCGGGAGTGAATAGGACAGAACCCAGCAGAGCCCCAGCCCCTGACTCGTTGGTTCCCAGTCCCTGGTCTCTTGTGTGCCCCTGACCTCCTCCCTTTCTCTTCTGCATGCTGGGGGCTTCCAGGGGCCTGAGTTCCAGGAATTTCTGCTGACAAAGCTGATCAATGCCGAATATGCTTGCTACAAGGCCGAGAAGTTTGCCAAACTGGAGGTGAGGATGGGCTCTTGGAGCTGGGTCCCACCACCCCCTAGAATTTCAGCCGAGCCTCCTGGAAAGGGGAAAGCCTTGTTCAGACCTCAGCGTTAGGGAGGGGCTGCCTGGGGGAAGGACCAATCGACAGGTGAGCAGGGCCAGAATCCAGGGAGAGGAAGCAGGGGTCCCTAAGGAATGCCCAGGAAGGGCTCGGAGGTAGGAGGGGCTCGGAGGTAGGCACAGATGAAGCAGTGGAGGGGGCGCGTGGGGAAGCAAGATCTCAGAGGAGGCGTGGTGAGCCCCCCGGGGGGCTGCGCAGGGGCCCGAGAGAAACCCGCATAGGCTTCCGGGGCCCAGGCCCGCTTCCCACTCAGTGAAGGCGGCCGGGGTTCCAAGTGCGGGAAGAAGGGCTGATCCCTGGGGTCTCTCCTGAGACAGGAGCGGACACGGGCCGCCCTCCTGGAGACGCTCTATGAGGAGCTTCACATCCATAGCCAGTCCATGATGGGCCTAGGGGGCGATGAGGACAAGATGGAGAACGGCGGCGGGGGCGGCGGCTTCTTCGAGTCCTTCAAGGTGAAGGGCGGGGAGGGGGGGCTCAGGGTGGGGATGGGGCAGGGACGCGGTGGGGATGGAGCCGGGATGCGATGGGGATGAGGTGCAGGGATGAGGGCGGGACCAGGTGGGGGTGTGGTTAGAGGCGGGGTCGCGTGTGGGCGTGGCTCAGGGTGGAGCCGGTTGTGGAGCGAATAGGGGCGAGCTCGGGCCAGGTGGACGCGTACCTCCGGTAGATCCCCGAGGACGGTGAGCCTCAGGGTGGACCCAGGCTTTCGAGTGGCAGTGGGCCTGGGGGAGGAGCTGGTGGTTGGAGGCGGGGCCTAAGCCTGGGGGCGGAGTCTGCCTGGAGGGTAGAAGGTTGGAGCGCTCCGGTGCCAATGGTGGTGGCTGCCAGGTCATGGCAGAGAAGCGAGGACCCCCGAGTCCTGACCCAGGGAAAGAAACCAGAGGTCCAGGAAGGAACGTGAGCAAGGGGCCATAGGAGAGGGACTGGTCTGCATGGCCTTAGGCCGTGTGGCCCGCTTAGGCTGCCTCTGGTTCACTTCAGTTAGGGTCCAACTCTTTGCCACCCCATGGACCGCAGCACGCCAGGCCTCCCTGTCCATCACCAACTCCCGGAGTTTACTCAAAATCATGTCCAGCCATCTCCTCCTCTGTCGTCCCCTTCTCCTCCCACCTTCAGTCTTTCCCAGCATCAGTGTCTTTTCCAGTGAGTCAGTTCTTCACATCAGGTGGCCAAAGTATTAGAGTTTCAGCTTCAGCATCAGTCCTTCCAATGAATGGTCAGCTTAGTGTTGAAAGCACAGACACCCTGGGTTAAGGTTGCAGCCTTTCCGCTTACCCCCTTGAGCATTCTCTGAGCCTCAGGGTTTTTTAAGCTATTGTTTGGGGTAATGGCTTCTTACCTCATACAGCTGTTGAGAATTATTTGTAAAGCAATTTGATCAGCGTAATGTAAGTTAAGAAACAAAATGCAAAGTTGTGCCCATTTACCGCGGCGACTACCATCAGCCTGAGCGAGGAGAAAGAAAGTTCTCTCCCCACCCCCGACCCCCGCGGGGCCTGGAACCCCCAGGCTGCGGGTCCCCAGGCAGTGACCTCTTGGCCACTGTGCCCTCCACCCGCAGGAGGAGGACTGCCCATCCTCCCGGTGCCCAGCCAGGCGGGCGGGGCCTCACCTTTACCCCAGGGCAGGCTACAAAGCTGGAGATGTGGGTTTGCATAAGAGGATTAGCCCAAGCCGCCCAAGTTCTGCCCTGGGCTGAGGTGAACAGACCGCCTTTGAGAAAGAGGCTTGAGGAGAGCCCTGCCTCTGCGAGGAGGAGACAGCAAGTGCATGGGGTGGACATGGGCCTGGGCTGTCTTCTCTGAGGGAGGGCTCCAGGGCCCCGCATCTGGTGGGCACCGGATTAAGTCACAGCCTTTCTCAGACAGCAGAGCCCACGGCCTAGGCTTTGGGTTTGGCATCTGGATCCCAGACCCACCTCTGCTTTGGTTTCATCTCGTGGAGAGTGGGCCTGGTAGCAGTGCCTGCCTCCTGGGGCGGATTGAGTGAGAGCAAAGGTAGAGAGCCCCAGCCCGACGTGAGCTTTCCGTGCAGTTGTCTGAAAAAAGCAAGGAGGGAAGGGAGGGAGGAAAGAAAAGCTCGCAGGAAAGCAAGCTCTAAGAGACCCTTAAAAGGAGGAAACGGGCGTTTCTGGGGCGTTCTCTGCACACGCTTTGGGTCACAACGCCGCGTCTCCTGTGGTCCTTACCACAGCCGCACGACAGATCAGGAGGCTCCAAGGCTCAGCGGTGGGGTGATTTTCCTAAGGTCACCCAGCAAGCTAGTGGCAGAGCCGGGGCCTACACAGCCCTCTGCCCGCGTGGAGCTGACTCCTGTATGGGCTCACGGGAGGGGCCTTACCGGGGTCACCGAGGGTCACATCAGTGGGTGGCTCCTGCATTTCCCCAAGGGAGCGGGGGGCCTTACGAAACCCCTGCCCCACCTCCACAGCGGGTCATCCGGAGCCGCAGCCAGTCCATGGACGCCATGGGCCTGAGCAACAAGAAGCCCCACACCGTGTCCACGAGCCACAGCGGGAGTTTCACGCCCAGCAACCCCGACCTAGCCAAGGCGGCTGGAATAGTGAGTGCCCCCCCAGCCCTGCCGTCCCAGGGCCCATCCCGGACTCTAGGCTAGGTCCCGCCATTGCTGTCCAGGGGGTCAGGCGCCCAGGCTGTGACCCTGATATCCTGCGGCCCCCTCTTCAGCGCTTTGGCGCACCCCACCCCCCCCACCGGACACCTTATTCATCTGGGACTTTCTGCAGCGTGTCAGCCCCCTAGCACGTTCCTTGGGGAACACCTGTCTTGTTGTTCGCTGGGAGTGGGGCTGCTGTGCGGACACCTCTTACCACGCCTTGAGTTTCTGGGAGCACCTACTGTGTGTCAGGACCTGGGTCTCTGCGTGAGCATCTGCTGTGTGTCTGGCTCTGAGATGCTGATGGGTCCCACTGTGTGTCCAGACCTGGGCTGCCGTGTGAGCTGTGTATTAGGAACCGGTTGCTGTGTGGACATGTGAGCGTCTCCCGTGGGCCCGGCCCTGCGTGTCTGCGAGCCCCTGTTGTGTGTCAGAGCCTGGGCTCCTGTGTGGACCTGCGTCTGTAAGTGTCTGCTGTGTGCCCAGGCCCTGAGCTTCTGTATGAGAACCTACTATGTGTCAGGAAGTGGCCTGCTGTGATAAGCCCCGGGTATCAGTGGTTACCCATCACCCATCGGGAAGCGAGCTGTGTGAGCGCCCGCCGCGTGCTCCCAGAGGCCTTTGTGGTTGTGGCTGCCTCCTGTGTGTCGGGGACTGGGCTTCCGTGTGAACCTCTCCTGCGGGATTACTTCCTGTTTGCCAGGCTCTGTGGGACTCTGCCACTCACACACAGAGGGTGTGCTGGGTGCAGGATGAAAAAGGCCTTCAGCGGGGGGCCTGTCTGCTTGCCACTGCCCAGCGGCCAGCCCCGAGCTCTGCGCCTGCTGCTTTGCTGTCCCCTCCCCGTCCGTCTTTCCTTCTGTCACCCATCCATCCATCCTTCCATCCATCCATCCATCCATCCATCCTTCCATCCATCCATCCTGCCATCCTCCCATCCATTATTTATTGACTGTCAGCTGCATGCCAAGCAAGCCCTGTGCTCAGTGCTGTGAGGCTGTGTCCTGTGGCAGGAGAGACCCACCCCCCCCTTCCGCCCCCTCCCCGGCCCCGGGGTCTGGCCTGGCCGGGGGAGCAAGGCGAGTCTTCGTTTCCCAGCCGTCAGCAAGCCCACCGCCACGGGAGCCGCAGCCCGCCCTCCTCCAAGCCCGATGCCCCGGCCACTCTTCCTCCCCACAGCGGGGCCCGGCCTCCCGCGGGCGGCTGCAGAGGGGCCCCGGGGAAGGGCCAGGCCAGCGGGCCCACCACGGCAGTAACCAGAGCCATTTCTGTTTTTGTTTTTGCACAACTCTTCCCTCTCTTCACGTGGCCTCCTTTTCCTTCCCTTTCTCTCCTCTCCCCCTCTCCCCGCCATCCCCAACTTTCTTGCTCTTGTGTATTCTCCCCTCTTGCACCTTTCTTGCTCCTTTTCCTCCGCTTTTCTCCCTGGCTTTTCCCTTTGTGCCTCCCCTCTCCATCTCTTCTTGTCTGTCCCATCCCGGGTCCGTCTCTGTCTGTCTGTCTGTCTGTCTGTGTTTCACCCTGTGGCCCTTCTCGTGTGAATGTTTGTCAACTTCTCACGTCTGTTCTCTGTCTCCTTCCCCCTCTTCTCTGCTTCCTTCCCGGCCTTGTCTCTCTTCGCCCCCTGCCCAACTCTTCTTCCCTGTCCTTGTCTGTCTGTCCTGCCCTCCTCTCCCTGTCTCACTTCTCTCTCCCTGTCCTGCCATCCCTGCCTCTCTGATTCTCCGTCTGTCTGTCTATCTCTCTGCCCCCCGCCCTCTGCCGCTTGCCAGTCATTGCTTATTCCCGGGAAAAGTGGCGGTAGATTCGGACGCCGAGGCAGTGCCATAGGCATAGGAACCGTGGAAGAGGTTGTCGTCCGCAGGGCCGCCGGCTCTGGAGGCTGTCTGCACGCGCTGTTCTCTGCTCGCTCTCAGGACGGAGGCCATATTGGGGACGTTGCCCCCTGCCCCTTGCCCCCGCCCCCCCAAGCCCCCGGGACAGGCCCGAGGGCCAGGCAGGACGGAGTGCCTGCAGCTCTGACGGCACTCAGCAACCTGCTTTGGGGCCTGGCACCTCTGCCAGAGCCAGCCCCTCCCAACCCCCACCAGGGGCTCTGGCCCTGCCCTGGCCCCTGGGGCTCTGGCCCAGACCCCGCCGGGATCTGGTACCTGAAGACCCCGCACCCAGCTGCACGTCCCCCAATATCGCCGGGCCTGCATGGAGCGCCTTGCCCTCCTCTGCCCACCTCCCGGTCCCGGCTGTGAACTGACCTGGGGGCTCCTGCCCCTCTGTGCCTCCCTGGGCCCCCCATCCTGCCTGCCTGCCCCAGAGAAGCGGGGGACGGGGGGCCTGCTTCTGGCACCTGGGGTGACCCACAGTAGTGTGCGTGGAAACTTAAGCGGGGGTATTTCATCTGCCGGGCTAGAGCCTCCCCCTGCAGGGCTGGAGTGGGGCAGGGCCTGGGTGGCTGTGCCTGCTTTCTCCCTGCCGCCCTCCAGCTGCAGGTCCCGTAATGCTCCGAGGACCTGGCCTCCCCACCAGCCCCAGCCCAGAGGGGCTGTCCAACCCCCGCTCAGGCCTCTGCCCCCTTTTCCTAAGATCCCGGGTCCAGACCTTCTGTGTGACCTCAGGGGAGCCCTTTGCCGTCTCTGGGCCTGTCTTCCTTTATCTGTAAACTAGGTTGACTCTCTCGGGAAGTGGACGGTCCTCTGCTTTGGGGCCTGGGCAGCGGGGGCCCCTGGGGGTGGCCTGTGGGTGGGTGGGGGTCCCTGGAGCTCCGGGAGCAGGTGGGCACTGAGTTGGGCCTCTGCCCGCAGTCGCTGATCGTCCCCGGCAAGAGCCCCACGAGGAAGAAGTCGGGTCCGTTCGGCTCGCGACGGAGCAGCGCCATCGGCATCGAGAATATCCAGGAGGTGCAGGAGAAGAGGTGGGTGGAGCGGCGGGCGGGCTGGCGTCCTTCTCCCGCCCCGCACCCCTGCACGACCCCCGTCCAGCGGCCAAGGAAAGCGGACAGCAGGGCGCTCCCAGCCTTCTCCCCTCTGTCCCCACCGGTGACACCCGCCCGCACCTCAAGGACCTGCTGTGCGCCAGCTCTTCATCTCAGCCCGGCTCCGCTGGCTCCCGGGAGTCGTGGGTCAGGGGAGGGCCTGCCCCGGGTCACGCGGCGGGTGAGGGGCAGAGCTGGGGTCTGCGGAGCTCTGTAAGTACACCGGTGTGAGCGGGGTGTGCACCGCCCCCGCCGCAGGAGAGGCAGGGAGCCCTCGGGGAGCAGAGCATAGTTCCTGGGCTGTGAATCTGGTCTTCACTGCGCTGCGGCTGTGTGATCTCGGGAAAGTCACTGTGCCTCTCTGAGCTTCGTTGCCCTAAGCTGAGAAAAGGCAGGGATGAGGACACAGCAGTGGCACGGTGCTGGTGCCGTGCGCGTGAAGCCGGGCGCTAGGGGCCCTGAGGTCTCAGGAGTGAGCTGGCCCTCCCTTCACAGGCAGGAGGGCCCGGAATCCCACGAATCCAGGGTTCAAGCCTTGGCTTTGCCATGTCCTGGCTGCGCACCCATGGGCAGATCCCTTCCCACCTCTGGACTGCGGTCTCCTTATCCATAACCGGGGACACTTAGACCCCCATCCACGGGGGATGTCCTGTCTTGTTTTTTACTTGTTTTTTGGCCTCTCTGTGCGGCTTGTGGGATCTTAGTTCTGAGATCAGGGATTGAGCCTGAGTCCGTGGCACTGAAAGTGCCAAGGCCTAACCCCTGGACCGCCGGGGAACTCCCAAGGATGTTCTGTGTAGGTGCTCCCGCAGTGCCTGCTCCCTCCTGGTGTCAGCCCAGGGGCCGCGGGGACCGCTCCGGGGCTGGCCCCTGAGGATGCGGGGTGTGGGTACGAGGCAGGAGCGCCCGGGACCTGCTCTCCCCACCTGGGGCTCCTTCTACTCTTGCAGCCAGGCCTGGTGCTGAATCCCCCGTGCTGCCCCCATGTGCCCCACAGGGAGAGCCCCCCGGCCGGCCAGAAGACCCCAGACAGCGGGCACGTCTCCCAGGAGCCCAAGTCGGAGAACTCATCCACTCAGAGCTCCCCAGAGATGCCCACGACCAAAAACAGGTTGGGGCTTGGGGCATGCTGAGCCGGGGGCTTGGGTGTGGCGGGCCCATTCTTTCTCCCCCACTGTCTGGGCCCTGGGCTGCCCGGGAATGTGGACACGGCCACCCCAGGGCAGCAGGGGGGCCCGGGCACTCTCTTGGGTCCTCCTCTGACACACACCCACTGAGCGCTTTATGCATGCCACGCTCTGCAAGACGGCAGTCACCTGCCCCTGCCTCGCGGGGCTGACAGCCCAGAGTAACAGAATCTAGTAAGCTACTTCCAGGTAGCGATGACAGAAGGAAAAGAAAGCAGAGGTTGCCATGAAGAGTGGCCGGGTGGGGGCAGGGGCTTAGATGGGGTCTCAGGGAAGACGTCTACTGAGGGTTAAGGTTGGAATTGAGAGCTGAGTGAGGAGTCGGCCCTGTTAGGACAGACTGGCGGCGGTGTGGCAGCGGGAGGAGGGTGCCAGGTAAGAAGCGCAACAAGTGCAAAGGCCCTGAGGCACATGTCTGAAGGCTCGGCAGAAGGGTTGTGTCTGAGTGAGTGAGTGAGGCTGGGCCCAGGTGGTCGTGAAGGTAGGTGGGAGGAGTTGAAGAGTTGGGCAGGGACTGGATCATGGCTTTGAAGGCTATGTGAGAACTTTGAATTTTTTTTTTAATGTATTTATTTTTGGCTGTGCTGGGTCTTCACTGCTGCACGGGCTTTTCTCTAGTTGTGGAGAGCGGGGGCTCCTCTCCAGCGGTGGGGCACAGGCCTCTCATGCCGTGGGGCCTGGGCCGTAGGGGCTTCAGTAGTTTGGGCATGCAGGCTCAGTGGTTCGGGCGCTCGGGCTCGGGGGCTGCGGCTCCCGGGCCCCCAGCACAGGCTCAGTACTCGCGGTGCTCGGGCTGTTTCCCGACAGCCCGTGGGATCTTCCCAGATTGGGGATCAAACCTGTATCTTCTCTGCATCAGCAGGCGGACTCTTTCCCACGGAGCCCCCAGGGAAGCCTGAGAACTTTGGATTTTATCCTAAGTGTAGCAAGGAGGCTCTGGAGGATTTTGTGTAAGAGGAGTGATGCTTTCACAAGCCGACCGTGGTCACCATGTGAGAGTGGGCCCAGGAGCAGAGGGGCCAGCCTGGAGGCCACCCTCCATTCATTGCTTGTCAGCTGGGCCCCGGGGGTGAGAGGGCTGGGGAGAGGACCCGTCCTGGGCTGAAGAGTCAAGTCAGGTGAACAGGGAAGCAGGAAAATGCGGCAGGGACAGGACGAGACAGAGCCGAGCAGAGAGGGTCATTTCCCCGCTAACACCCCGCGCGGAGGAATCAGGGATGGCCTCCTTGAGGAGGTGTCCCCCACCCCCACCCCGGCTGGTGTTTGAAAAGTGAATTTACTTTTTAGGACTTGAGGGAAGGCGTGCAACGCCAGGCAGGAGACACAGTTTGGCCTGCAGTGGATTTTCCTCCAGAAAGGGGGGAGGAAGGAACAAGTGGGCAGATGTTTCTCTCTGAGCAGAAGCTAGAAGGCAGGAGATCCTGTGCAGTGTTACATGAGCTCCTCCGGCTGTATTGGTGACATTGGAATAATCAATGTGATACGGTGGTGATCGTGGGGAGAAAAGACCTTGGACATGGAACAAAACTGAGAGAGAGTTAAGGAAGTAGACTGTGGAGGTAGAAGGCCCGGATCCTGCCTGTTCTCGCACCTCTGGCTGGGTGACCTCGGGCTGTGTGCCCACCTTCTCTGTGCTTAGGTGTCTGCTCATCTGTAAAACGGGTCCAATAATGATAGCAATGAGATAACTGGGGTCAACACACTTAGATCAGTGCCTGGCACAGAGCAAATCTGCACTCAATGATGGTGCCGATGGTATAACTATTAACCGATGGTGTAACTATTAGCCGATGGTGTATAAATAAATAGTTCTGACTGAACGTACAGCCAAGAGAATTGGGCTTCATCGGGGGCAGTGGGGAGCCAGGGTAGGAGCAGGACTGGGGCCCGACAGGATCTCTGTGTTAGGAAGGATGGTGGCATCGGGGCGGCTCAGGGCCCCCGAAGCTATAAGGTGCCGTGGTGGAGCTTGGCTGGCCGCAGGCTGGGCCTGCCTGGGCAGAGAGGGCAGGGACCAGGGGTTTTGGCTCAGGAGATGCCCACCACGGATGCCGGCTGACGGGACGTGTTCTTGGCAGAGCGGAGACAGCGGCCCAGAGAGCAGAAGTGCTAAAGGGCTTCTCCCGCTCCTCGTCCAGTGCCAGCAGCTTCGCCAGCGTCGTGGAGGAGGCAGAAGGCCTGGACGCGGACGACACGGGCCTGGTGAGGGGCCCCGGGGGGGGAGGTGCCCCGCGGTGGCGTGAAAGGGGTGCTCTCTGGAGATGACGCCCCGGGGTGAAGCCTGAGCCCGGCTGTGGCTGAGTTGTGACCAGGAGACCCAGCCCCGAGGAGTAGTGCAGGCTGGCCTTCCCTTACTCTGAAGCCTCCCTTGGCTCCCCAGTTCCCCAGTCTGTGAGGCCACTGAAGGTCTAGCCCTTCCCTCCCCGGCCCCGCCTCTCACCCCTTTGGCCAGCCTGCCCTGCTCCTTCAGCCAGTCCCCGAACCAGTCAGGCTTACTCTACCCCTGGGCCTTTGCACACGCCGGTCCGCTGTCTGGAACACTACCTGCTCCCTCCTTCCCCCGTTGTCCGACTGGCTCCTGCTCCTCCTCAGCTCAGCCTCCCAGCGCCTCCTCCGGGAAGCCTGCCTTTCCGGGCCCAGGGTGGGTCAGGAGCCCCTGTGCCCTGGGCTCTGTCCTTGGCTCCATCACGCTTCGCTCCGCAACCCTTCAGTCCCCTGCCAGGCTCCATGTCAGATGCTGCGCGTGCAGACCGCCGAGCCCCCACCCCATGGGGCTTGGGATCTGGAATTGCAATAGTCTCTTCCCAGCCTGTCTCTCCTCTTGACCTGGAGCTCTTGGAGGGCCAGGACCCTCTCGATTTTTCTCGGTGGCTTGGCTTATGAGAACATCAGGGTTTGGACGCACGGATGAGTGGAAAGTGTGTGTGTGTCTGTGTCCGCTTCTCTTCCCACTCTGCCCTCCTGGGGTCCCCTGGGGCAGACATGGCTGGGCCCTCACCCTCTCTGCAGAGGGGCCAGGGTGGGGGGGTTGTGGATTATAGCAGAGGAGGGGTGGGGGGGGGGGAGCCAGCCAGTGCCACGGGCAAGGACTTCACCTCCCTCCTCTCCTCCCCGTCCCAGGAGAGCGTTTCCTCCTCCGGGACGCCCCACAAGCGGGACTCCTTCATCTACAGCACGTGGCTGGAGGACAGCATCAGTACCACGAGCGGAGGCAGCTCCCCAGGTACCAGCAGGGCCAACCCCTCAGCGGGTGCGGCCACTCCTGTGATGGACGGGGCCCAGGGCTGGGCATGGAGGGCACGGAGACCCGTTTTCAGGCCCCAGGTGGTGGGTGTGATGGGCCTGCCGCTGACAGGGGCTCCGTGGGCTGGTCCTTATCCCGTCTATTATGGTAGTTGGTGGCTCGGAGGACTGGTGGCTTCTAGAAGGGCCTTGGAGGTTGATGGGGCTTTGAAGGGGGTAAAGATAGGAGTTAAGGGTGGGGGTACCCAAGGGAGGGGCTTGCTGGGGTTGGGGGACGCTGGTACCGACCGCCCATCCATGCCCCCATCTCCCTGGTGCCTCCCCGCGGCCAGTGAGGTGGCTCCCTCCTGCCTCCCTCCCCAGGCCCCTCTCGGTCACCCCACCCCGACGCCGGCAAGTTGGGGGACCCTGCGTGTCCCGAGATCAAGATCCAGCTGGAAGCATCTGAACAGCACACGCCCCAGCTGGTACGCGCAGCTGCCAGGGGCCTGGGCGGGGGTGGGATGGATGGCCTGGGGGCTGGCCCTGTGGAGAGCACCCCCTGCCCCCGGGATGGGGATCGGCTGTTGGGGAGAGGCCTCAGGTGGCCAGGGGTCCCCAGGGATGGCACTGGACCAAGACTCACTGCCCCCCTGCCCCAAGCCTGGAGGGGTTGGGCTTGTCCAGCTTGGGCACAACCGCTGACTTCTGCTCGCCCGTGTCTCCCACGTCCCCCGTCCCGGCGCCTGTATTGCCGCTGTTCTGACCACAGGGCTGTTAGCCACTCTGCCGCTCTGAAGGTGGCCCCGAGCAGGTCAGTCCCAGCCCTCAGCTCCTGTTTGGTTGGGGGCCGGCGGGGGAGAAAGGGCAGAGGAAGGCAGGGCTGGGCCGACTTGTTCTTTCTCCATCACCTCTGCGGGGTGAGAGTTACATTTTTAGGTTTGAATCCTCTGCCGCTCAGTTGCTAGGTGACCCTGGGCTTCAGTTTCCTCCTCTGTACAGTGGGTCAATAAATTCTGCCTCACGTCTGCCCGTGAGTTAGCTGAGAGGATTTAATGAGAGCCTAAAAGGGACTTGGGAATCATTGGGAGGGAGGGGTCTCGGGGGTTCCCCTTGGGATGGAAAGATCCAGAGCCTGCCGTCCCAAGGGCGGGACCCCTCCACTGCTGTCTCCCTGTTTCATGGCACGTCCGTCTCCCTTTACCCTGCAGATGAGGCCGCAGAGGCACAAGGCAGATGCTCTGGCAGATCCAGGTGGACGGGACCTCCACCCCTGAGGCCAGCACCAGCCTGGGGCCCACCCCTCGCCTCCCCAGCCCTCCTCCTGGCCCATGTCCGGGCTGTCTCTGCAGAGTGGAGCCGTCCAGCCCTGGGAGCGGGGAAGCTGCTGGCACCGTCCCCACCCCCTGGGCTGGGAGGCTGGCTGGGGCGGGGAGAGGTCAGCTGGAACGGGACTCCAGGCCTGGCTCATCCATCACCCTTGGGTGCCGCTCTGGATTCGAGGGAGTGAGCTGGAAAGGAGAACTAGACATCTCGGTGCACGCAGAGCCTGCCATGGAGGCGGTGGGGAGGAGGAGCACTGGGCTGGGAGTCCTGAGTCCTAGCCTGTGATTTGGGATCCGCTGTGCAGCTCTAGGCCCATCACACTCCCTCTCTGGGTGCCTCGGCTCTAAATGGACGAGATCATTTCAGAGGTCACTGAAGACTCCGCGCAGCTGCCCCCGAATGGAGGATTGCCCTCCCGGGGGCCTCCCGTCACCCTCTCCTGCTTCTTGGGGTTCCTGGGGCCCCAGGTCGGCTGAGGGGCAGGGGGCTGGCTGTGCCCATGGCACCTCCTAGACCCTCAGGCCGTGTGCCGCAGACCTGCGGAGGCCCTGCCCACCGCCTCTACGTGACAGACAGTGACCCCATTGCGGGCGTGGGGGGCCCGCGTGGCTCTTCCGCCAGCCCCCGGCTCGGCCCCCTGGCACCTCCTGCTCCTGGCACTCCAGGCCGAGGGGTCTCAGCTGGCTCACCTTTGCACCACCCCCACCCCGCACAGAGCGGGCAGTCAGGCACAGCTGCTGTGAGTCCACATCCTTGTGTGTGTCCACACTTTTTAGGCACCACGCCAAAGGGCAGCCTTCCGGCCCCAACACCCGTTTCGGAAGCCCCTGTGGCCATGTGTGTGTGTCGGTGACAGTTGTACAAAATAAATTCTATTTATCGCTATTGTACCCCGAGTTGGACCTGGCTTCATGTGACCCTCTCCCTCCTCTCAGATCAAACCCAGACAGATCTTAGGGGTGCTGTGGTCAAGACCAAGAGCCTGTTCACTAACCTCCACCACTCCCCACCCCTCAACCTCCCCACCCCACCATCCCCTCCAAATCAGAGCTGCTGGGTCTGCAGACACCTCCAAGGCCAAGCGATGGGCTCTTTGACCACTAGCTGTGGCTTTCCCCTGTACCCTTTTCCCACCTTGTTCCCTCTCCCCAGCAGGGAGAACCTGGCTTTGAAGTCAGTTCAGTTCAGTTCAGTTCAGTTGCTCAGTCGTGTCCGACTCTTCGCGACCCCATGGACTGCAGCATGCCAGGCCTCCCTGTCCATCACCAACTCCTGGAGCCTGCTCAAACTCACGCCCACCAATTGGAGTCCTGCTACTCCCTGGTGGTGCTGAGAAACTTAGAAGCTTCCCTGAGCCTGTTTCCACTTCTGTAACACGGGAGTGGTAGTACTTCTCCCGGGGATCCGTCCTGAGGATTCCTCGAGCGGGTGCAGGTGGAAGACCCAGCACAGCGTCAGGCGCCCGGTGGGTGAAGGCTACGTGTGTTCCCTGTGTGGCCACCAGAGGGCGCCGAGGGACCGCTTACCCGCACTGATGGGGGCGGGGACAGGCTGAACCTGTCCAGCGAGGAAGGCGCTCACCTGGTGCAGAGCGATTAGGGTGATTAAGGGGCGATGAGGGCCTCGGGGGAGGGTGGGGTGGGATGTGGGAGGAGCCCGGGGATCCAGCCTGGCTGAGGGGGGGTTGGGGAAGACCCCGTGGTGCCTGAGCACCCCCCAGAAAGGCTTAGCATAGTGTCCGTGGGGAGGGAGCCGCCGGTGCGCAGGGAGGCCTGAGAGTACGGCTTGCAGCTGAGAAGGGAAGGTGATGGTGATGGTGGAGGGGGCAGGCAGAGGGCAGGGACCAGGCCAGAGGCCCCATGGCCTTGAATATGCCGAGGTCAGTGGGGAAGCCGTGGAGCACGCAACACCGGGAGCAGGGGGTGGCTGGCGGCGCCGGCCGGGCAGCGTCGGTCCAGGAGCCCTTTGCCAAGGACACGGGCATCTGCAAGGTGCTGGGAGATGAGCATCTGGAGGACAGGGCTGAGGGAGGAGCTGGGAGGCGCTCAGGGGTCCGGCCCGAAGGTTGGTGAACGGGGTGTGGGGGGTTCTGCTCTGAGATAGGAGCACAGGAAGCAGGACAGTTTGGGGGATTTGGGGCCTGGAGGTGGGCCCCAGGGGGGCTCATGATGCCTTGGCCACACGCCCTCCCCACCACCAGCACCCACACCCTCCCCTGGACGATGCTGGGGGCACCCTAGGGCCTTCCTGACGGGGCCCTGCTGTGACCCTCAGATGTCTGGGGCCCCCCCCAGGGGTGGTCCCCTGGGCGATGCTGGGGGCACCCTAGGGCCTTCCTGACGGGGCCCTGCTGTGACCCTCAGATGTCTGGGGCCCCCCCCAGGGGTGGTCCCCTGGGCGATGCTGGGGGCACCCTAGGGCCTTCCTGACGGGGCCCTGCTGTGACCCTCAGATGTCTGGGGCCCCCCAGGGGTGGTGACTCACTCCCCAGCTCCATCCACCCGGGTCTGGCCCTAGACTCAACGGGTCCCCGGCTCACCCCCCCCCCACTCCCTCCTCTGCCTAACCCCTCTTCTCTAACCCTACCCCCACCCACCCCGGGTCCTGCCTCCTCCCATCCCACCAAGGGCCAGTAGCCACAGTCCAGCCCCAAGACCAATTTACCTCCTATAAGCTCAGTAACTTTGGGTGCATGGACCTCGGAGAATGCTAGCAGCCCCGCCTTCAGTGCCCGGGTGGGAGGATTCAGTGAGGTGCAGCCCCAGCATGCGGTGCATTGTGGGGGGGTCGCACTCAGCCACGAATGAGGACATCTCCGTCACCCACATCGCAGGCCGTGGGGCCAGCTCTCTGCATGGGCGATGAGGTGGCTGGCCCGGGTTGGGTGTCAGGAATGTGCGATGATCAATTGCATCCAGGGCTCCCCTGGGCTTGATGATCCTTCCAGAAAAGAACTGAGTGTATCCCACTGTGTCCCGTTACTGGGTGCCCACCCCCCACACACCTCCCCGCCCCCCTCACACACCCGCCCCTGCTCTGGCCCCCCACCGACCTAGCGCAGAAGCTGGAGCCCAGCTGGGCAAGCAGCACCCTCTTTGGCCCCCTTGGCCTGCCTGGGTGTGCCTGCGCCCCCATCAGTGGAAACGACCAGCTTTAGGGCTGGGTTCCAGCCGGGGCCCCCACCCCACCCCACCCTTCCAGGCTCCAGGGTGGGGCCGGGGGAGGCCAAGGACCAAACCAGCCTCTGTGATCAAAGCGTCCAGTGCTGTTTCTCTTGTGCCCGCGCCAGCTCCGTGCTCGTCCTGCGTTCGGAGGTGGGCAGGGCTAGCCGGGACATGGACCCGAGGCTGGAATTAGGGCCTGGCCGAGGGGCTCCGGGCTCTGGGAAGCCCTGGGCTCGGCTTAGAGACGACTCTGGTGCTGCAAACAGCTGTCAGAGGTTGCTCCAGACATAGGAGGCCAGAGGCCCCTGAGGAGGAGCTTGGCTGCCCGGCTGACCCGGCAGCCTCATCTCCCCTGCCTCGGAGTGGGGACCTGTCTCCCCAGGCGTCAGTCTCCCACCTGTAAGATGGGGGCAGAGCCCTACCTGTCGCCATGAAGAGGCTCTCGCAGCCTCCAAGGGACCTGGCCTGGACCCCGTGCCCAATAGGAGGGGTCCTCCCCCCATCTCCCAGCCGCTGGGGTGTCCTTGGACGCCCATGGCTCGCCCTGGGGCAGCTTTGCCAAAGAGCCGGCCGCAGGCCCAGGCCCGCCCAGCGCCAGGGGACTGCGACCTGGACGTTCTCTGCTGTTCAGGCCACAGGGGGTACTTAACCAGGGACCCTGGAATGTGGAGGTCCCGCCCTGCCGAGGGGACAGCCAGGGACGGAGCCTCCTGAAATAACCAGATCTGGTTAGCAAGGCTAATTTTAAACGCCACTCTGGCTGCCCCAGAGGCCCTTCTGGGAAGCTGTCAATGTCCCTGTGTTTGGCCCCTGGGAGGCAGGGCAAGGGGGAGAGTGCAGAGGGGCCCCGAGGACCCCCACCCCTGAGAGCCAGCGCCGGAGACCCCAGGCTGCGGCCCAAGGCCGGCCCATCCAGAGCCCAGAGCCCTGGCCCCAAACTGGGCTGCAGGGGCCGAGCCTCTGCCCTGAGCCACTCCGAAGGAACACTGGTGGGCTCTCCGGACCCTCCGCCTGCTGTAGCTTCCCGGACCGCAAGCTCTCTGTCAGTCTGTCTTAGCCATCTTCCACGTCTCCTGCTTCCTCGCCCTGCCCCTTCCTCTCTGGGTCTCTGCCTCTCTGTCTCAGACGCTGGAGTCTCTGCAGCGATGCCTCTGTTCCCCTCTCTCTGGGTCCCTCATGCAAGAGGCCCCGGCAGCCTTCCTGACCGCCTGTCGGCTGGACTGTGCGTGCGAGGTAGGGGGTAGGTGTCCCCCTGGGAGCTGGGGCTGCAGGTGGGGCCCGCCGAGGGAAGGAGCGCCGTCCCAGGAGCCAGCAGGAGCTGTCCCCGGGCAGGCAGGGGCCGTGTCCAGGCATGACCTGGGCCATCCGGCCCGGCCCGGCCGGGCACGAGCAGAAGGAATGAACTCCGGGGGTAAGGTTGCCAGATTTAGCAAGTAGAAACCCACGGAGCCCAGGTAAAGTTGCATTTCAGATAAACAAGGGAGGACTTTTTAGTTTAAGTATACCTCATGCAATGTTTGGGACACAGACTAAAAATCCTCCCTTGTTTATCTGAAATTTGAGTTTGACTAGGCATCCTATATTTTATCTGGCAGCCCTCTCCTGGGAGGCTTTAAGAGTGGGAAATTTTTTAGCAACAGCAGGTTTTAGAGGCTGAGGGCGCCCCCGCCTGGCCAAGATGTGGTAGCAAGCCCCTGGGGAAATCCCGGTCTGATGGGGGAGGCCCGGCTCCAGCCAGCAGGCAGCTTTCAGTCCTCCAGCGAAGGGGCGGGGGCGGTCCTCGGGAGCCTGGTGGGTGGAGTTCACATGACACCAGCTACCTCTTCAGTGGAACCATCAGAAGGGAGGGTCTCTCCTGAGCCTCACCCAGGGCCTGGCACATAGTAGGGGCTTCATAATTATTTGTCAAATGAGTGAAGAATTCTCCCAGCCCATGCCCACGGGCGTGGGAGGGTGCCTGGCTGGCAGAGGCTCCAACGCCGACCTCCCAAGCTGCTTGGCTCCAACTGGAGCGTGCACTGCCCCCACCCCAGGGGCCCCGAAGTGAGCTGCAGAGAAGGAGGAGGAAGTGGGGAGAAGGCATGGAGAGATGATGCCAGCTTTTTGTCTACCCCGCTCTCCCCGCAGACCCCAACCCCTACTCAAGAGTCCAGCCTGGGCAAGGGTACAGGTCAGGCGTGGGAACTGGGGGAGGGTGACCTCTGGCCCCAGGGACTGGTGGGGACTAAGGCAGAGGGCAGGCCAAAGAGGTGGCTGCTCAGGGCTCCTTAGGGGTACGTTTGAATAAGTTGGGGGATTCCTGGGACCCAGAAACTTGAGGACACTCACTTCTGGGGAGGTAAGATTTGGGCCTTTTCCTTTAGCCCCCTAATCTCAGGGGTCTTCCTGGAGTGGGCAACAAAGGAGAGGCCTGTGGCTCTCCCACACCTCCCCCACGGCAGAGTCCCTTGAACACCTTTTTGCTCATTCATTCATTCATTTTTTCACTTGCTAATTCCCCCCTCACTGTTACCATTCACTAGGACAGCCTGGCTCTGTGCCCGGGGAAAAAGTACTGTGGCATCTCACCCAACCTCAGTCGGAACATACCTGTTCCAGGGCTGGCACTGCCGCTGGCTCCCTGTGTGAGCCTGGGTCCCTGACCAGCTGGGACCTCAGTTTCCCCATCTCTACAATGGGGATAAGGCTAGCAGCTCCCTCCTATGCCATGGTGAAGGTGTGAGATGAGGCCA